CAAGGTGTACAGACATAAAGGTTAGTGTACTTTTTAAAATTTACAAAAATGCTCATTGAAGAATCGGCGGGCCATGACGTCATGAATCGAAGAATCGGGAGAATCATGACATCACATGGCGATTTACGGCATGGTAGAACCGGGTGATTTTCGATATTTCACTGGATCCAGCTCAGGTCTGCCGGTTCCCGAGTCATGAATTGAAGAATCAGGAGAATCATGACGTCACATGGCGATTTACGGCATGGAATCGCTGGTTCTTCTCTAAAACCTCACGATTTTCGATATTTCACTGGAACCGAATCATGAATTGAAAAATCAGGAGACATCACATGGCGAATTGAAGAACCGTGCGATTTTCGATATTTCACTGGAACCGGCTCGGGTCTGCCTGTTCTCGAGTCATGAATCGAAGAATCAGGATAATCATGACGTCACATGGAGATTTACGGCATGGAATCGCTGGTTCTTCTCTAGAACCGGGCGATTCTTGATATTTCACTGGAACCGAGTCATGAATCGAAGAATCGGGAGACGTCACATGGCGATTTACGACATGGAATCGCCTATTCTTCTCTAGAATCGGGCGATGAATCGAAGAATCGGGAGAATCATGACGTCACATGGCGATTTACGACATGGAATCGTCGATTCTTCTCTAAAACTAGGCAATTCCGATATTTCACTGGAACCGAGTCATGAATCGAAGAATCGAGGGACGTCACATGGTGATTTACGGCATGGAATCGCCGGTTCTTCTCTAGAACCGGGCGATTTCCTATATTTCACTAGAACCGACTCGGGTCTGCCGGTTCTCGAGTCGAATCGAACTCGCCGACTTTTGAATCACTGCTACTAAGTAACATGTGGCTTACTGGTTATAACTTTCTTTCTGCATGAAGGGCGTGGGTTCCATTCTCCTGTAACATGTGCTGCATGGAGGGGGTGGGTTCCATTCTCCTATAATATGTGCTGCATGGAGGGCGTGGGTTCCATTCTCCTGTAACATATGACTTACTGGTTATAACTTTCTTTCTGCATGGAGGGCGTGGGTTTCATTCTCCTTGGGACGCATGGAGGGCGTGGGTTTCATTCTCCTTGGGATGAACGGGGGTTCTCTTATCAACTATTTTTCTTGTCAATTTTTTTTTTTCTTGTCAATTTTTTTTTTTGAGGTCTAATTTTTTTCTTATAAATATTTTTCTTGTCAATTTTATTTTTTTGAGGTCAAATTTTTTTCTTATAAAAAAAATGAAAGGTTTTTTTATCAATTTCGTTTTTTGTCAAATTTTTTTATTATAAAAAAATGAAAGGTTTTTTTATCAATTTCGAATTTTATCAAATTTTTTTCTCATCAATAAAATAAAATTTTTATTATAAAAAAAAATGAAAGGTTCTTATCAATTATTTTTCTTGTCAAATTTCTTTTTTTTGTCAAAAAAATAAAAAGTTTTTGTCAAAAAAAAAAAAATGGTAATAAAAAGTTATTTTCAAAAAAAAAAAAGTTCTTATAAAAAAATAATAATGCAACAAGTATTTTTGTCATAAGAAAAAAATGAAAGGTTTTTTTTATCAATTTCGCTTTTTATCAAATTTTTTTCTTATCAAAAAAATTAAAGGTTTTTTTTATCAATTTTTCTTTATGTTAAATTTTTTTCTTATCAATAAAATAAAAAGTTTCTTATAAAAAAGAATGAAAGGTTCTTATCAATTACTTTTCTTGTCAAATTTATTTTTTTTTTTCAAAAAAATAAAAGGTTTTTGTTAAAAAATAAAAAGTAATAAAAAGTTATTGTCAAAAAAAAAAGTTCTTAAAAAATAAAATAAAAATACAACATGTATTTTTTGTCAAAAAAAAGGTTCTTGCTAAAAACAAAAAAAAATGTAATAAGACAAACATTTCTTGTAAAAAAATAAAACGTTTTTATCAAAAAAACTAAAATGTTTTTATAAAAAAATCATTCTTTATTGTATTCCATGTATAATTATATACTTCATCCACGATAGTTCTATAATTTTTATTTTATGCAATGTAATATAATAGTTAAAATAAGTTCATACATAGAAAAAATATCTAAATATTCACATATTGATAAAAAAAATAGAAATTAATAATATAGTATCTCGATTTCTTATTGGATTCCTAAAAAACAACATTTTATAATAAATATTAATAAATTTTTTATATTTTTTTTACAGCTTAATTTGATCTATTCGACCGATTTTTGATCCGAATCGTCGATCCACCGATCCAGATGGATTTTTGGGGTGCCCGATCTGAGCCGTAGATCCATTTTTTAAACCAATAGTTCATACTCAATTTTGACAATAACTCCTTCGATAACTTAGGTGCAGCTGGTTTTGATGGACTCACTAAAAATAGTATGTTCACATCATTTATTCATATTCAGGGCCTTATGGATTTACTACTCCAAATGAGGCCGAAGCTTGGGGTTTACTAGAAGGACTGAAAGGAATTATCCAAGGAGACCGTATAGGAGAAGCCAATATTTCATGAAGGTTAAGGTCTATTTTTCATACGATTAGGGGACACTTCGATGGGATTAAATGCTGAAATCCATTGTTACCGGGAGGCTAATGAAGAAGCAGATGCTTTAGCAAAAAGGTCGTTAACTCCTCTTCCTTGATGGCGACCTTTTTCTAGTGATTCTTCCTTCTTTCTCATACATCTTGTAATCTTTTAAAGACTTAATAAAAATCATGTTAATGTTAAAAAAGAAGAAGAGATGCTTAGTCAAAAGAGTTTTAATTGTAGAGAAAGAGAGAGAGAGATGAATTTGGCTTATTGCTTAATGGGACATACAAAATCCATTAATGAGATGACATGAGAGAGAGATTTGGAGAGAAGAGGTGATTAGAGAGAGATGAATTGCTTAATCGTTTTTGCTTGATAGTGCCAAATGGATTAATAAGGGGGTACAGAGAGAAAGAGATTTGGGCACACGAGGTCATTAGGGTAAAAGACAGGCACCATTTGACACACTTCACTTATATTAACCAATCGAACAAGAAAGCAAGTGGATCAGAGGCTTGGGAACAGAGACGAGGTTTGGGAAGGTTGCGAAGCTAAGGCATGGCCTCACGCTACCGACCCTAGCAACAAGTACCCTCTCTCTCTCTCTCTCTCTCTAAAATGAATAAACCGTGTGTTTTTCCCCGCTCTTTTCCCCTTTCTGCTCAGATGCACTAGCCGTTACTCTTTACCGAATAATCCTCTTCCATTTCGCGCCAAATTCCTCTAATGAACCTAGGGTTTTCCCTTTCAATTTTGCAGGCTACAGCTCGCCAGCAGAAGTCTAAGAAGAAGAAGAAGAGGAGGAGGATGACAATTAGGGTTTTGAACCTACTATTCTGTAGAAAAATGGGACTGGAGGTTGCAAAGGGGGCAAAAGTTGGGGTTTTGGAGTGTGACTAAGAAGACGGGGAAGAAGAAGCTAGGTTTTGGCCTTACATTTCTATGGAGACATGGTCTGGTTAGGTAGAAAGCCGGAGCTTTTAATTTGGGGGAAAAGATTAGGGTTTTGATTTTCTGTTATGGGGACGCGAATTCCAGTTCCGCATTACAATGTGCGGTCTTCAGACTCGTTTATAGCGGGTTCGTTGCATGATCTCAACACAGTGGATGCGAGGCCTGGCGAAATCGAAGGGATTAGCGATGTTGATAGAGATGCAGTTACAGGAGATACATTGGAGAATGAAGATGATTCAAATTCAGCTGTGAGTTTACTTATTTGCTTTTCTCCTTCTCCTTTTATTTATTTTTTATTTTTTTATTTTTTTTATTTTTTTTAGTTTTTTATTTTTTTTATTTTTTTTATTTATTTTTTAACTTTGCCAATGTCTCAAAAAGTATTCTCCTTTTTATTTATTTATTTCCTTTTATTTTTGGCTTTTTTCTTCGCTGATGTCTCAAAAAATCTCTTTATTTTGGTGACTTAATGGGTGGATGAGCATCTGTTGTGTTCATATGCGTAAATGGCCAAATCCTTTTTGAAATATTGTGAGCTTCTTTAGCTGGTAGATTTCTTATACTATATAAGCAATATGAATGATACAATTGAATGCCCAAAATTACATGATCCTAACAAATTTCTTAACATTTTTTATATCTAATGACATTCCTGTCATTTCTTTGGCAATCCTAACATTGTTATTCCTAGTGGTTCTTTTTTCATAAGAGTAGGATCTCTTTTTGTGCTAAATGGAAGGTGAAGATCTCTTTCTTTTACGATTATTTCTTAGAAATAATGGCTCATTGTATCAACAGCTGACAAAAAAAAAAGGAAAACAAAAAGGGTTTTCTCTATAAACTTCATTTTCCTTTGTTCAGTCATGTTACTTAAAGTGTTTCTTTACATTTCTTGAATACTTTGATGGTATTGCAGCTTGAACTTGTTGGTTTTGAAAGCCATCCATTGGTTTTCAATTTCGACAATCCACTGGAAATTCTACTAGCCATGTTGAAAGAATAATTGTAATACGATAAAACTTTATGTGGTAGCTTTTTGGCTAAGTAGTTGTAGAAATTGTTTTTGATTTTCTAAAAGAATATAAAGTAACCATCATGATTTTGTGATTTTATTTCTTGTTAATCTACTGTGATAAAATGTTTTTTCATGTGAATATTTGTGTCCTGTTGTTTCAAGATATTGGCTTCTCTATCCTCTGGAAAATTTTCTTCACATAATGACTCTGTCTATTAGTAATAGTGTCTTTTTATTAGGATTGTATACATGATTCATATAGGAGTTCGTTGCCATTGCATGGCGTTGGTGGAGTGCAAGATGATCAGGCTCCCCTTGAAAGTAGTGAATCCTCAAGGCCACCCTATGATATATTCTCACTCGAAGGTGATTTCTATTTTGTACTTCTTTTAGCTTTACCAAGTGCAATTTATTAGTTGGAATATTGATTCTTGCAAATATTTGTGAGACAGATATTTTGCCAATTGAAACAGCAAGAGCAAGGTTTTTGCAATTTATTGCGGATCATTTTCTTCAAGAACATGTGATTGAGGTTCCAGATTGCTCAAATGTAGATTACACTACCCAATCTGGACAAGATAATATTAACAAGAGAAAATCAAGGGGAACCCAGTATGAAGGGGACCCGAGGTTTGTCTTACCCTTGATGTATGTGGCTAACTTATACGAGACATTAGTGAATGATGTGAATTTGAGGCTTGCTTCTGTGAATGGAGTTCGTGAGAAGACCATGGGTGTAGCTCTTGAAGCAGCTGGTGGATTGTACAGAAGGCTTGCAAAAAAGTTTCCTAAAAAAGGTGGAACATGGCTCTTGACTTTGCATTTTAAGTGACATTAGAGGGCTTTCCAAATTAGTTTTGTGCTTTACGTGTGACTTTTTGTGATATTTGAACTACTCAGTGACTTTTATTCTATGGTTCCGTAGGACCTTACACATTTAGGAGACGGGAATTAGCTACATCTGTTGAGACAAGATCACGATTCCCAGAGTTAGTGATACAAGAAGAGAAACGTGTTCGTTTTGTGGTCGTTAATGGTTTGGAGATTGTAGAGAAACCGAATAACATCCTTCCTGAGGATGCTGATTGGTAAGTTCTGATAATCTTACACGCTGAATACCTAGAATGATTCTCCTTCTCGTGTCATACTTTCTTCTGTGTTGGACAGCTATGCATTACTTACAATGTTTATAAAAAAGAAATATCGATCTTTCTTAGAATCTTTTAACATATAAAAGCACATCACTTTACTGCTCTTTTATGGAGGAAGATCTTGGGTGATGGTTGTAATCAGCCTTTTGTCTTACTTGATATTAATTTCCTTTTTCAAATTTGTTTTTTGTAGCATTTTGTCCATAATTTGCGGAAGAATGTTTTGTATGGTTCTCATGATGGCATCTTAGGAGTTGTGAGGTTTTGATGTAAGGGAGATTGTGCAAACTTTGCTATCCCTATGATTTTTGAGGCAATAAAGATTTTCAAGGATTGGCAGATGTTGCAAACTTGCTGGTAGTATTTCATTAAAATCAATGGGCATGTAGTTATTCATATTATGGTCTAGCAGGTTTTGTGAGTTAACTGAGTTTTGGTTTCTTCTATATGAGCATAGATGAATTCAAGTTGATCTTTTGTTATTCAGCTAGTAGCTATCAGGGTTAACAATCCTGAAGAAGGCACATCTGTGCTTGAACCTTGCCTGTTCTCTGTTGGTTATTCAGCAAGGGAATTACATTCTCTGGCTCAAGCTACAAGTTTCCCAGACACAGCTGCTGCAATGTTAGAGTCTAAATTCTTTTGAGTTGGTTGGTTTTGATCCACAGCTCTCCTTGTGACATTAACAAATACAGTTGCTCAATTCCAATAGTGGAATCTTCCACTTTGTGGCAAGTGCTGAGAATATAAAACATCCTAATTTTCTTATGAGCCATATGTTTTCCTAATGCCAGAAGAAAGGATAAGTTATTTCAGCAGTATTCATAATGCATAAACATTCATGATCTCCTGCATATTATTACTGTTGGGCTATTTTTTCCAAGTATTTAAACATATAGCTCTATCAATATTTATGTTGTGCCATTTATATCTGTCACGGGTAATTTTTTTCTTATTGTGGACTACTATTCTCTCTTTTTACTTTTTCTTTTTCTGGAGTATCCAAGAGTGTTTGTTTCTTTATATCCTCGATGACCATCTTGTACTGCTCTGGTTCAGGTTCAGACGCATGACTGGCCGGCATGAAGTGGCTATCTCAGCTAGAGACTACAAATTTTATTCACCCAGGCATAAATACAGACGCCTCTCCCAGCATTCTGTTTCTAATATTCCAGGGCTTTCAGTGAGTTTGTTGACCAATTTGACACACAATGTAGTATTGGGCTTGTTTGTTAGTGGACTTTTGATTATTATTATTATTATTTTTTCCATAAATGCAGGCATTCCCCAGTGCAGAGGGTTCTTTAGCGCTCGTTACAGTTACAGGGGCACGAAATCCTGTCAATGAAGTAAGATTCCTTGTTGTTCTTGTAAGATTATCTTTGTGGAATCTAGCTTATGTTTAGTGCCATATCATATACATTGGAGAGATTTAGGTAATTCATGGTACTTAAGTAGAGGGAAGTTTGTGGAATGCCTGGAATGTGGTTACATTGTACAGGATGTGGTGTATCTTGCATGGCTTTTGGGTTGTGTTTTGTGGTTCTTGGATCTACAGTCATAAGGCATAAATCCAGCTATTGCCAATTTTCAATCATCTGGGTCTGATGTTCACAAGAGAAACTGTTTCTATTTATTCAATTTCTATGGTCTTTTGATTGGAGATATGATTGAGCATTTGTCCTATTGTCAGTCACTACAACTTCTCGTATGGCTTGGTATGCATTTATATCGCCTTTTTAGTTGCGGTTTGTGGGTTCCTGTATCTACAGTCATAGCCCCTACCATGGCTAGTTCGCAGTCATCTGTAACAGATGGTGTCAACAGAAACTGTTTCCTATTTGTTCAGTTTCTATGGTCTTGTGATGGAGACATGATAGTTTCAATGGTGAAACCTTCATACATATATCTATAAACAAGGGAAGAAGAGAATGAAGCTTGCTTCTTCTTTTTTCGGTCCATTTTATTATCACTGACTACCATAGGAGCCAGATTACCTACGTACCTCATGGGCAGGGGAGTGGAATGAGGAGCATTTGGGGGTAGGTGAATATATCTGATATTCATTGCTCGTCTGTGTAATGTGGTGCATTCTTACGATCTCTCTATTTCTTTCATTCAATGCATTGATTTTTATTTTACAAATTGCCATTCACCCTTTTACTTTACTGAGTCCTTTCCTGCATTTGCTTGCGACGCATATTCCAATGGTATGGCACAATTTCCATCCTATTTATTTGTTATCACCAATTAATATCTTATTTTCTTACGTACCAGTTTCATGTTTTTTATCCTAAAGTTTCTATCCCTAGCATTCAATAGTTGATTGAGTCCAGCATTCCATATCAGGTTCTTTTCTATATTTAGGTGCCATGGTGCACCACTGTCATAGGCTCTTGGCAAGTTTGGAATGGCAGTTACTGGCGATCGTTGCATTCAATAAATCTAGGGAGCCTTCTTTTCCTTTTTCTTGGAAAATATAAAAATTCTGGGGCATCGTTTGTAGTTTGGTGTGGTTATTGCCATTTTCCTTGTTATAATTACATGAGATAACCATGATATATATGTGTCCTCAATTTGCCAGCCACAAAGCCAGCAGCAGTCTCCAGTCAAACATTTGCCAATATTATCACCACAATCCCAGCTTCATCAGCCAATGCATCAAAGCCAACACACGAGTCACTTGTCTCATTTGGGCCATACGCATCAATGTTGTACAAATTCTTCTCATTCATCAGAGACCTCCCATGCTCATCACTCTCCAACCACCATGCCACAGCATATGTGTTGCATACAACCCCACTCTGGATCACGTTTGAATGTTCTTGTGAGTATATTTCTTGTTGATAATCTCATTGTTGTTTCTGAAACTTATTTTTGTTGTTCATCTTTTTAGTGTTGCTTGCATACTTGGATTGATGTTTGTAATAGTCTGACTTGTCTGTGCTTGTACACTCAGAACTATACATAGCTCAATCCACCTCCCTCTTAGAGCACATTGTCACTAGGTAGGGGCTTTCGTGTTGTTTGCCAAGGGCGGAGAAGAATTTAGAATACATGGGTATTTCTTAACCTAAATGGGGCCCTTAAATGCAAGCCGATGACTAGCTAATGCTGTTTTTTTTAATCATTATCTTAGTTTCAATAATGGTATGGAACATTAGCTTCTTGTTAACATTTGCCATTTTGACATTGTTGCCCTAGTGTGGTAAAATTTTGTTCTGCTCTTCACAAAATGACATAAAATCCTGTTTTCTGCCCCTTAAAATAGGGGTGTTAATTGTGCAAAATGGCACATGCATTTTGGCAAACCATATTACATGGTCCACTTTTGCTTGACCGTCCCCAGCTCAGTTTACCCAAGTACCCACTCCAAATTACCTTACTGCTAATCTTGTTTGTGCTTGATTATTTATGCAACTCGTTCACTTTTGCAACTTTCCTCTTTTTAAGTATTTTATCTTGTTTAGTAATTGCTAATGCATTTCATGATTTTATTTTCAGCCAACAAGTCCTGCCAAGTTCTGTGATGAATGTGGGGCAATGTATTTGAGAGAGACCTCCAAGTTTTGCTCAGAATGTGGAGTTAAGAGGCTAGGCACTTGACCCATGCCTATTTATTATTGCTCGAATTTTGAAAATACTGAGAAGCCATGCTTTTCTATGATCCCCTTGAGCTTTGTGGGCACAAATAAACAAAAGATGCTCAAGTTCTTTGTGATCGTGTATGCCTTGGGGTTACAAGTAATGTAAAAATTCGTGTAAAATCTTACGTATTGTCATATACACTGTGCATAAGAAATCTGTAGTTTCATAAATGGTTTGGGATCCTAAGTTGCTCGATTTTGTTGCTAGCTTGCATTTTTAATCTAATAGATATTAGTGTTGTGAATGAACAACTTGGGGTCAGAAAGAGTTTATTTAATGAAACCTTGGGAATTCTTCTAAGGATCTTAAGCAGTGAATGATCTCATGATGGAAATATATAGTTTTTCTTCACCCTTCCCACTTTCTGTCAACTAGTGCAATTTGGTTCTTCGACTTTGTTATGGCTTACACATGTAATTGGTATTAGAGAAATATTTTTTTTGGAATTTTATGCATGATTAGATCTGTGCATTGTGTTGTGTTGTGTGTGTGTGTGTGTGTGAGAGAGAGAGAGAGAGAGAGAGAGAGAGAGAGAGTAGTGTGTCTTGTACAACTGTATTGTGACAATGACATGCACGTCTCTCTCTCTCTCTCACAAAAACAAGAAACTCCCCAAAACTCTGGGACAGATCAGTTCTTGGGTCTCTGCTGTTGATGAGAAAAGACACTGGGTTTCGGTGAACTTTTAGGAGTTTTTCACCGCTTCTAATTCTTGGGTTTCTTCCAAATTCACTAGAGGAGCAAACCCCATTTAAGAACCACGACTTTTTGCTCTTTTTTCTACTGATCTCCTATTTCGAAACAAAGAGATGGCTTCTAAGCTCCTCTGACCGACATACCGATGGTCAAGATGGACTGGATGCTCCTCCAAGTTTTGAGTTGAGGTTTTTGGTTACAATTGACCAACGTATCCAAAATCGGATAAACTTTTTTCAAGATTTTGTTGGAAATAAACTAATCAGTAAATTTTTGTGTCCTTAGATGGGATTGTACATTGTGAGACCATTTTCCCTTGGTAGAAGAGATCATAATCACTTGCAGCCAACAAATATTAAATTTGACAAAATAGCATATACCCAGCTACCTAATTTATATTCAAAGGTGAAAGGTGATTGTGACCTTGTATCAAAGGTAAATATCTATTGTGCCTTTTCCCTAGTCTTTTAGGTTTCAATTAGTAGTTTTTGGTGAATGTTAAGGACATGACGATGGTTTGGCATTTGAGAAATTCAGACACTCTTTATTGGTTTTTTATGTTGAAATCTTACTGTATTAAGTATTTCAACGTCACCTAAACTCACAATGCCCCATGTGTCTAAGAACATGTGTCTCCTCAAACACCAATATTGGGGTTGGCTCAATTGAAACTTGTAGCCATGTCAAATGTTGTTGTACGTGTTTCTATCTTTTGCAATGTATAGATATTCTAAGGCAAATTGTATTTGTTTGTTTTTTGTGAGGTTTGGTTTTGCCAGTACGAAACACCTTCCTACAAGGATAGATGAACTCACAATTCTAATCAAATTGCACAAGAGCACAAAATTTATTATATGACCCCATATGGAAAGAGCCAAGAAGTAAAACAGAAAACCCTTAATGATGTTATAACTGACTCGACTACAAGTATTTAAATTCAAGGGTGGCGCTATGAATGTCATAATTGCCCATGCGAATTAGACAATCTGTACAGAGATAGAACACTTATAACATGCGGCGTTTTAAGACTTGGAATTAGGTTTTGGATTTCCCAACCTGGCAATGGGCCAAGCCAGCCCTGGCCTAGTTCCTACTGGGCGGACTTGATCCTGGTCTAGCCCTGAGAGGGCTGAAGAGGCCATGGCCCTATCAAGATCGGGTAGGGCAGGGCAGGGCAGGGCAGGGCGGTTGCCAAATACAATAAAAAAAACAAAGAAAAATAAAAAATAAAAAGGGCGGGGCTGAATAGGCCTGTGGCAGACTTGGTCCAGGCCAGCCCGGCCCTAGCTTTTTAGCGCTGGAATGACATGGATGGGTCGGGCTGAGCTAACGAGCTGATTTTTAACTTATACCAATCTAGATCTGTAAATCAATCGATGGGATTCAAGGAGTGGAGGGATCCAAGTTGCCTACCTACTAAGTCCGATCTAGACTACAATCTAGATTGTCGGCTTTTAATAGCCTAACATTACAAGTGTAGAGACCCTTTGAACATCGACTGTTTTTATTCAATCCTCAACATTTTCTTTTCTTTTCTTTTCTTTTTTTGTTTTTTGTTTTTTTTGTTTTGGATTTGGTAGAGAACACGATTTGGAAATTTCTTTTATAAAGTTCAGCATATAGGTTGAAGAGGTTACATGCCCAGAATTTGGGATCTCCTAGATTGGATTTTCCCTGAAGGATTAATGAACAGAGTGCTCCCTCTGGAACATGAAATATTTTGGGAAACGTAGATATGAATATTCTAAACTCACACATCCATACGGTGCATGGAATGTGCATCTCATATGCTGTGGAGCCTGGGCTAATATATAGACTTGTATAGTACATGTTCCTGTGGAGTGTGGGCTAATATATAGACTTGTATAGTACATGTACAAGTGTGTATTTGTATTCGTGCTTCTTAAAATGTTGACAAATACCAGACAAATATTGTACACACATCTGATTGAAAAGTACAATGAAAAAGCTTATAATTTTATACTATTGAAGTAATGTGCACTTTATTGGTCTAAAAGAAAGTGTTCTAAATTCTGAAATTGACCTCAAGACGCGTGGATATGATAAAAAAAAAATAAAGAATTTTAAATCTTAAAATTAATGGATCTTGTAACAAATTATATAGGCTGTCCATTTTCAAGATTTTCAAGTATGTATAAGGCTAATTGACCTATAGCACTTTTAAAATTTTAATTTTTTTATCTATGGATAAAAATATATTTTAAACCCATCATAATATTTCTGCCACCAAAATTACATCTCCAATCATATTTTAGAGGTGTGCCCTACTTCTATAGTATAAGAAGGAAGCCATATACATGCCTCACTCAAAATAAAATATCTACATACACAAGACACACACATGTACACGCTTTTCTTGGTTGCAGTCCAAGCTTGCAAAGCATACAGATGGCAAAACATTTGTAACTACGAAGTTTAATCGAAAAAAAAAAAGAAGAAAAACATGAGGCTTTTCTGGAGAAGTTTATATTGTAGTTATACCTTAATATTAATGAAGTTATTATATAATAAAAATAAAATAAAAACTAAAATGGGTAGGGCCTGTCGATGTAAGCATGACTTGCTACTGCTACAAATATTAAGAGCCAATAAATAAAGCAACATGCGAAGGATATGTTCTTTTATATTTTACTGGTTAGAATGCATTTTCACAGGTGCAAAAGGACCTTTGCCTTTTTCTTTGTTTGAACTTTAATGTACTTTTCACCACTCCAAAAAAATATATAAAATCTTAATGTATTTTCACTTGGGCAAGGGGTTTTTTATTTCTCACAAAAGTCTTTTTTCTAGGGATATTTAGAAATGAGATTATTTTATAAAAATAGTATTTATCTTTTGTACATGAAAAATCACAATTATTTCCACCCATTAGATGTCCAATTCTACGAATTTTGTTTTGAAACTTTGTATCTTCAATGTCATTCTTACAATCACCCATTTTGAAATTTAGAGAACAAAAATGATACCATCTCTATGTACAAAAATAAATGATATCTTTATCGATAATCTCTTTAAAATATCTCAAAAATTTTGAATTTTACTTTGATGTCCCTTTTTTTTTTTTTTTGTCTAAAATGCCCTTATTAACTGGGTACTCTCACTACATCAGTATGTTAAAGTTGGTTATGTGAAAAATACTGTTCGGTAGTGAGAGTACAAACATAAAAAAAAAAGGCAATAATTATGTGCTAAGAGAACCAAACATGATATTTAAATGAATAAATTTATTTGGTACCCTCTTAATATCAAAAGGTATACATATATTCAATATTCTCAGTGCCAAAACGTATCTTTCGCAAAGAACTACCTCCAAAACAGCCCCAAACTGAGTCTACCAATTTAAAAGGCATTTTGACAAAAACTAAGTCATATTCAAAAGGAAAAGTATATATATAGAGACCATTTACTTTTAGGAAAAGTTTATATAAGGATAGAACCTTCTAATATAGAACTACGGATGCACCTCAAAAATCCATCGAAAAAAGTAATTTTAATGTTGAAAAACCCTTTGATTGATCATCTCGACATCGAGATGTATGACCATGAAAAATAAAAAGATTTTAAGTCTCAGAAATAGTGTATTTTACAACATATTATCTACACCATCCATTTTCAAGATTTTCATATGTTTATAAATCTACTTGATTTTAACTATTTTTAAAATTTAAAATTTTATAATTAGATATAAAAATAGATGTTGAGATAATCCTAATAATATTTTACATCAAAATTATATACCATGATAAAGAGATCATGCCATTATTGTCCTTTAGTTTTCAAATTGGATGGCTATGAGAATGTCATTGATTAAACTCGTATAATTTAACATCTAATGATTAGGAATAATTGTGACCACCTTGTAAGAAAGATAAATAGCCTCACAATTTACAATCCCAATGCAATAAAATTTTTTTTTTTTAAAATTATATATATATATATATATATATATATATATATACTAAGAAAGGATATTATCTCCTCTACTTTACTTACTATACTCTACATCTACTAACGTTACCTAAACCTACGTACTTAAGCGTACTCGTACTA